GGCAACACTGACAAGTGTACAAGCGCGTGCTTGTTTTGGCACTTTCTCTGTACGAATTAACCCTGTCTGTAGGAACTAAGCATTTAGGAATTGAACATTTTGTTTAATGTTAAAACTATCATTTATACTGAGTATGTATAACTGGAACTCTGGTAGCTAGCATGAAATAAATGTAACCCGTTGTTATCGTAGAAACGTGCACTGCTCACACAGGGCAGGGGGCTGTGCCCTGCGATACTGGCAGTGATGTGCTGGAGCAGCAGTATCTCTGAACTGTGTATTAAATAAAGGACACTGATTCTTAGGGCGTGTGTTCATCTTGTGAGCTGGCAAAGTTGTATCTTGACCTCTCTGTTCATAATTAATCTGGCCTTTTCAGAACAGATGGATGAATAGGAGACTGTCTTAAAACACAAATCCTACAAGACGCTTGATTCCTCTGAAGTCGCAATGAGGTCAGTTGCCTCTATTCTGCGGCTGGAGTAAATGGATGTAATAAACATGCAAGTGCTTTTTTTTCTTAGTTGTGGAATCAGATACATGTTTAAAATGGGAAATCAATGGAACTGATGTTGCCAGTTGCAAAACATGCAGACTTTCATAGTGAAAGTCGCTGCTATTGTTTTAATCCACCAAAGACTTTGCCAATATTTATATACATGGAGGGCTCTAATTCAAGTCTCACTATGACAAAGTATTGCTAGACTTTACCAAAAGAGAATCCAAATGAATTGGACTGGCATTTTTGAAAGAATTTGTACTGCTAGGTAAATGCTGCTTTACAATCTATATATGAAGCAACAGGGACATCCAGTGGCCAGTTTGCAGTAATCGCCTGCAACTAAAAACCTGAAAACTTCCTAATGAATAGCCATTGATTTCCTCTGTGTGAATTAGCCAGCAAGAGCTTCTTAACAAAAATAGTGATCAGGTTGTTTCTGTGTCACTGTGACTCTGCGTCTACATAACGCTTACCATTTGGGAATTTAAAAATATTTTAGTAAAGTATTTGAATTACTTCACATAGCATGCCTCAGTTTCCCCATTTTGAAAGGGTTGCAATGTAAGAAGAACCCAGCACTGGTAAGGCTTAAAGTTAGGCTGATTCTGAAGATTCAACCCTAAGCCATTTGCCCAGAATCACGCATAAATTCTGTGCTCTAATAAAAATATGCTTTCTGTCAACACCTAGAAAGCTAGAGTATGTAGCATAGCATGGTTTAAATTAGTGACTTTACGATATTTTGAATGACAGGCAATATAGACAAGTTTCTAATAATGAGGTCAGGTTGTTAGGAGTTAGCCTAAAATCCAGTATAGTCCCTCTACTCATATTATCTCATACTGTACAATTAAGTTTGTGTTTATATTTCACATTTCACTTACCATCAAAGGCCAGTAGAGTCCTTTAAACTTCTCATTAAGTTTAGAGGCATAGGCAAAAAAAAGAAACAATGCCACCAGAAATTCTAAGAGCGGTGCTATCATGAAAGAGGCAGCTGAAGATGCAATACAGCAGATAAAGATGATAAATGACAGCACCTAGAGCGCAAGGGAAAACACTAGTTATTTGCATGGAATAGCAGAGCCTCAGGCCGCTCTGAGCAGCTTTGAAGCTTTATTCTCCTTGCATGTGTCAGTCTGTGCTGCTAAGATGGCATATATTGTTTCCTACTTTTTCTTCCAGGGCCAAATGAATTTTTTCGTTTAGCATGGTATAAATTTAAAGTAAGTTCATTTATTTCAATGCATGTGAAATTGCCCTTCTAGGAAGCCTCTGTGGCCTTACACCTCTCTGAGTCAATAATTTGCTCTGGCCTGTAAACGGCTTTGACAACATAATTTTGAAAATAGAGCAGAGCATTGCCAAGTAGAGCTTCAAGCTCTCAACTGTGGCAGTTCTCATCTGAAATCCAAGTCATTGCTCAGGTAGCCCAAAGTAACTCGGCATTTGTAATCTTAGAGTTGAAAGAAAAAAGTCTACTGTTGGTGGATAGAAAAGTCTTTAGAACTAATTATTCTATGACTTCTGTAAGTCTCTGTTTCTGGTTTTCCAATGCAGACAGCTTTGCTTCACTAACATTTAAGTGTTTTGGAGAGTAATAGTGTAGCTAACATTTAGATTCTTTTTTTAATCTCTATGCTATTTTATAATCCTACAAAACAATAAAAATGGGATTTGTTTTCCCATTCAATTAAAATACCGTTACAATACAATTTAAGTCACTGCAGGAACAAAACTCTCCGCTTCCTCACTTGAAGTTACCCAGTTCTTTTCAAGCAGTAAGCACAAACAGCTGACTTAGCTTTACTTTTTGTTAGACTCTAATTCTAAGCAAAACAACATGAAACTCTGAATATTCCGATACTGGTGCTACTGTTTCATAGTTAGAACAATCTCCACCTCTTTACATTTATTTTCTGCGCACGCGCATGCATGTGTACATAAAATAGAAGCTAACACTGCTGCACAATTTCTTCCCCACATAATGAACTCCAATCAATAACAGTATGAAGAAGGAAACAAGCCTCAAGTTCTCCTGGAGAATAGGACAGGATAACAGCTGAACCAAGCATCTACTAGTACTTTGCTATTTCTTCCTGAGCTTTCCAATTCAGCTGGGTAACACCAGGCTGGGACACTCAAGGCTGCTCTCAGGTTTCCTAGGGGTAAGGGTCCCATCTGGCTTTTCTTGACTCGCTTGTTTCAAATTAGTTAATGAAGTCACTAGCATACTGAATTATTCTTTAAAGTGTATTTATGTGCTAACAGAGCACCTGAGCTGCTCTATTCAGCCTTTCTTCCTGGAGGCAAATTTCTACTCTAGCAATGTTCAGAGATGTTTATGGATCATCATAGCAGTAGGTACTTTCAAGCATTAGATTAGGAAGATTTTTCTGAACTTGAATTCTAATTTGGGATGTTTCTGACTTTCTCACTCATCTAATCCTGGAAATGGACTTAATTTTTCCCCAGATGGCACCTCTGAAGGGAGATACAGCTTCTTGAAAAGTCTAAATGTTTGGACTCTGGCAATCAATACATTTGCCTCGTTACGTTTCAGATCTATGGATTAAGTTGCTCACTGCTACCACCTATTCCTAGGAACCACCTGCACATCAATAATATCATCATTATATTTGAGACATAAGGCACTAATTGCTCCTGCGAGAGGTCAGCTGGTTCTCAAATACGTGTATTAAAAGAGCCCACTTAGGTTTAGAGGGAACTAAGCAGTTCAATCCTGTTGGAATGATTTGTTAACGTGGTGAATTAACAAACCTCCACCCTAAACCTGTTAAAACTAGGATTCTGTTGCCGAGAACGTGGTGAGCCTCTGAGCATCTAACAGTGGAGCTGGATATGTTTGGCTCTGTACATAAAGATGGTATACAGTGTTCATTTTCAACTCTGGCACCATCTGAGTCATTTTAGTCTACTTTCATATGATGTGCATATTCCATTTTGGTTTTTTTGGTATTCAATAAATAACTGCAGTACTGACTTTTTAATTATTATCACTCCCCATTTTGGATGTAGAATCTCCTCTTTTGTTGCTGTGCTCACAAATTGTGGATAATATGGACATTGTCTAATGTCAAGTTTCTTATTCAGATGTCCAGCCTACAGAACTAGTCGTCGTTGGCCCCTGCATCGCCAACAGAAAGGGACCAGCTCCCCAGAGAGCAATGGGGAGTATTTAAATGAAACATCAAATTTCTTCCTGCATTGACTATATGGGAAATCAAGAATAACCTCTTACTTCACCAGAAGATAGGTATTATGGTAGAGATTAATAATGAATGTAATAAGAGAAATATTCAAACCTGAAGTGATGGCCCCACCTGCAGCTAGGGCTACAGTCTGCTGGAAAAGGTCAGAGTTTTTGTTAACTTTATTCTAAGAAAAAGTCTAAATGCATGGGAATGCATGATGAAGTGCAACACTAACAAGGAAACTTTTAGCTGGAGAGTTCTCACTGTAGTTTCTTCTATAGTCTGTTCATCTCTTCCTGTACTTATCTTCCTCTTACCTCACTCCAGGTTCTTTTGGTTGTAAGTGTTCAACCATAAATGTGCTGAGTGCAGACAAATGACTCCTGAGATCATTATGGAAAATCAGTCAATTTTTGACTAGGATGATAGTAACTGCAGTATATGTCTTGATTTGTTATGACTGGGTAGTGAAGTTGGAGAGGATGTGACATTTTTCATAAAATACTATAGTTATTTTTAAATGCCTATGCATTGTTCTTATTTCATGAGGTTGTAAGAAATTGATGTGGTGTAATACAGAGTTCACTTCTGCATCTAGGCCTGTTACCTGATATTTGTCTTACTATTAAATATATTTACCCTATTGTTATTTGCCTATTATTTACATAACTCTAGAAAAACCTGGAAAGAGCCTTTCATGGAGCAGAGAGAACTCATTCCATTTATCTTATCCTCCTTAATGGGGTATTTTATTTGTATGAATAAAAAGTGATACATATTGTTTGCACAGAAGATGGATGTAACAGAGCTTGAACTTATGATAAGGGGTGGACAGACAGAGAGCACGTCCTCTTCCTCTCTGTAATACAGCCCAATCCATTCCCCCTCCAAAGAAATAAAACCAGGAAGGACTGGACTTTAACTTTGTGAATCTGCTTCACCCACGTTTGTAGAACATGATTTGGACACAGTTTCATGTTTTCTTGGTTAAAATAAAAAAATCACTATGTAGATAGGAAATTTTTCCCCACTTGTTCTGGTGTTTAAAAAAGATCTCTTCTGGCTAAAACAGTGTGTAATAGCTGAGATCTAGAGACAAAGAAGTTCCCAGGATAAACAGCATCAGGGTGGAGATACGGTCAGGGTAAGTCCAACCAAACAAACCCCTTTAAACATCACAAAGTTAGACCTGAAGCAAACCTTGCAGATCTTTTATAAAAGAATTAAATGCAGTATTAAATGACACATTGTACTATGGAGGGAGTAAAGAGACAAATTTCAAATATGTAAGTTCATGATGCACAGCAGAGGAAGAAGGGATCACTCCGATCTGTATGCTGTTGATACCGTAACGCCAGTGTTGCATCTGTCTTTGAACAGCGAGCAAGTTTTTCTATTGGTAGCATGAACTCTTAGGTGACATGAAGAGCCTTTGCAATCTCCTAAGATTGGCCTTATAGTAAGATTTAAGGCAAACTGGCTAGTGAAGTGTAATTTAAGGTTCACAATGTCAAGAATGCAGGCAAAGACAGAAACGTGCAAAGGGAGCTTACAGCTTTTTGTCAAACCCCCATCAGTGTTCCTGGGCCGTGTAACACTGAACTAGTCTGGGTGATTTGCAGACCGTGCTTGAGATCATGTTCTCTGCTGTATGCTGGTAAAATCCCCTCAGAGGGTTTTATACTCGGAGGTAGATGTGCTCATGTGCCAACCTCGGTCAGCTTTCATGCTTCTGTTGGCTCAATTCCTATAAATCGGGGAGTTTTACAGAAGCGAGAGGTGCTCTGTCAGATGGGGCTTTCCTCACTGCTCAATGCTTTTACTAGAAAAGAGACCTTCCAAGTAACTGCAGCTTGGGGTCTGTCACTTGTTCAGAGCCATGCAATGTTTGGCCTCATTTTATCAGGATTATGAACAGGACCTGAAATGCTACTTTTCTACTTAATGATTAAATGTAGAGTCAAAAAGATTTGAATCCTACTAAGTCTCTTGTACTCGTGCAAAGCTTAGTAGTGATCTTAAGGATTAAAAGAGCAGTCCATACAGATACAGTATGCACATACTGTTCTCTCCTAATACTCTGTCCTTCTCCCCAGCACTTCCCTCAGCCAATGTACTTTCTTGTAAGATGGAAATTAACTCTTTAACTTTCCATTTTCAACTTTTATGATTTACTCTTTGGATTCCAGCTAAGAAAAAAATCTCTGATGGGAAAAATTTTATCATGATACATATTCCAAATGCATTTAGAAGAGCAGGCTATGCTTAGCAGCAGGAGAAGTCCTATATTGGTAAGAACACGCTTGCGAGTAGTTCTTCGTTAGCCTGTGACTAAAAGCGTATCAATTTTGTGAGCAGTGTAATTAGCTTTTAGGAGCAAAATTTAGCGTATATTACAGGGTTATGTAACAGTCCTAGAAGTCCCTCAGAGCATCTCCTTCACTAAAGAAATTCTCATTCGCTTTCTTGTTTGTGTATAGAGAGGTAGATGTGGATAGACACATACAGCTCTGTCATTCCTTAGAAACAGGTCGTCTCTGTTCTCTGCTCCCCTCTTACAGCATATGCTGCAATGCTCTAGTTTCAACCAAATTCCACTGAAATCAGTGGAAAGATTTCAGGAGATGTTGGCTGGGAACATAATGAGAGAGGCAGAGATACCATTTCAAAGGCATGTTCAGAAGAAAGCAGACAGGCAGTGGAGATCACTGAATCAGCTTTTTTATTGGATTCTTTTTTATGCCAAGCCTTCTGACTTGAGGGGGGGGAAAAAAAAAAGACTTCACTGTAGGTTCAGTTCTGTATACTTGTTTTATGCTATTTACCTCTAAAGACATTGACAGCCCAACTTCTATCCAGCTCAAAATCTGGCCTTCAATTTTTGATAAAAAATCAGTTATTTACAAGTATTTTTGTAAATATCACTTAGCTGCCTGCAATTTTTATGTGGTAGGCAGATGGGCTAAGTAATACTAATTACATAGCAGATATCTGTACCAAAGTATCTGAATATGTAGGGCAAACTGATAAGGACCTTTTTCTAATAACAGCTGCATCTCTGGCCCAGCTAGAGTCCTGATTTTCAGACTATGTCCCACCGAGGTTCAAGTCCCTTAAATCTAAAACAATGCATTTGTAGTTAGGTTTTAACTATAGTATTTCAGCTGCATGTTGTTGTTGTTAAGGCCTTTCTCTTCCCTTCTTTGTTCCAGTTCGTGAAGCTTTTGTAATTGCTACTCACTAGCTTTTTTGTTTGCTATTGGTCCTTTTAAGTGACAGTTCTTTTCATGCTGGTATTTCTGTACTCATAAAACAGAGACAATGGGCTGCTGCTCCCCTCCAGCTGCAAAAAATAGTAATAGGACTGCATTGGTGTTTGAACAAGAAAGGCAGAAACTGCCAGTTCCTGCTCGCTTTCTCACCCAATGGCCCCGAGCGAGCCTGCGCAGCGCGGTGCAGCGCCTCAGACCCCGCTGAAACGTGGCTCAGGATGCGAACAGAAACCGCTCTGCGGCAAGAGCATGCTGCAGGGCTCGTCCTGCTCCGTTCTGCTCTCGTGACGGCAGTATTCCTGCTTGGGTTAAAAATAAGCTGCTGAAGGGACAAAAGGATCAGTCTGAACAGTTTAGCTTTCTATTTTAGTCCCATTTGGAGAAGCAGGAATTTGGGAAAATATAATTTTCAATTATCGAATCTAGTCAGCAGAACAGTACTTGCCCAAACAATCTTTCAGTTATTGGCAGAATTAGGGCTTGTGCTTGTGCCTGAGCCCTGACCCCGACGCGCAGTAATGGTATTCAGCGTTGCCACCGAGATGACTGCTGGCTGCACCAGCTGCCCTGAGCTTTCTACTCTTCTCTACTTTTTTTTCCTTTCAGTACTTTTCAGTAGCCTGTAGTGCCCATGAAGTACATGTAAGGACCAGATTAAAACTCTCTTGAATTGCAAGAAGTCCACTGATTTCAATGGATTATTGATGTTAACTGTAAAAGTTAAAGAATCCGGCTCAAGAGTGTGGTGATGCTCTGCTACGAAGCATCATTCCTCATTTTGGGGACATCCAGAACCTGAAAAGGCCTGAGAAAGGCTTCATATTAGCACTTAGGTGAAATAACACCTACAAAATAAATAGTGGACCAGATTTTGAGAGCGAAGGTGAGAAAGACGGTATTTTGGGATTTTTACAATCTTCATTTAGGCAAGGCTAGAAGTTACTAAAAGCAGAAGTGGAACAGAAAGAAGGAGGTGCCTGAAGGCTCTGTCAGGTGACAGAGGCTGCTGTGTTGCAACTTTTTCTTTGGTTTTCTTTTTTGTTTGCCTGGTTGTTATGTTACGGCCCTGACGTGGACTTCAGAGCCAGACCTGCTCTGCGGCTTGGGGACAGCGCTGCACAGGACGGGAGGCAGCAGAGCTGCCCACTTGGAACTACCTTCCTCATCCCTCTGCCTTGTAGAGCTTGTTTCCCCTTCTGACAGGCAGCATGTGTGGGCTCCCTGAGCAGTACTAGATATTACCTATTACCATCTTTTCTGAATTACGTATCTGAGTAGGTATGTTGTTATCTTGTCTGACCTTTTAATTACAATGCTAACTGCAGCATTTGATGTTGTTTAAAATTTTGATGATGTTTAAGATATACCCTTCCTCCCACAACACAAAAATTGATGCACCAGTTTGTACTTCCAGAAATAATGAGCACCTATTTATTTACTTTTCCAGATTTCAAGTCTTTATGAGGCAAACATCTAAAGACTGAAATGTTACTCTAAACGACTAACTCAAAGGAACCTTGAGATTATAGCTTTATCACTGTAAAGGCTGTTGGCCTTAGCACGCCAGGCTTGTTTCACACCTTCTTCCCCTGCAGTCACACTTTTAAAATTGTGTTCAGAGAAAGGTCAGCCAGCTGGGTCTTGTCATTTTTCTTTTCCTAACAGTTCTCTCTTTGTCATGCTAAAAAGAGAAGTATGAGGCTCAATGCAGTTACAAGTTCAGCTCTAACACTTTCAGACTCAAAGTGCTGCTGCTTCTGGAAAAGAAAAAAAAAAAAGAAAAAAAAAAGCAAGTAGTGTTTTATCAATTTTGTTAATTTGTATTTAGAGTGTTTTTTTTTAATTCCCTGAGATTACATCCCCGTCGCTGATAGCAGCTAGGAGGCGGAACTGTTCCTATGTTGCTGTTGAAAGCCTGGCGTGATTATTGCCACCTTCTCCTTAGTAGGTGAAATGTACAGAAATATTTGGCTGCAGAAAGTTCTAGTGCAACAAAGAACAGAACCACATCTTGTTATAGTCAGGAAAGCATAGCATTAAAAAAAAAAAAATCCTGCCAAAAAAGAGCCCTGGCTCCTTTGCTGTCTTTACTGGGAATGTGCCTAATGAAAAAAAAAAAATTACTTAACTTTTTTTTAGTATTGCATTTTGAAAATAATTTTCTCCCATGTAATATTACTTAATCTTGTATTGCTGGGCTTCTTAAATTGTTAACAGGAATAATTATGAAGGCTAGGCATTATCATGGAACCAGGTCAATCAATTGAAGGTATAAAATACAATTAGCTATAATGATTAGAAAGCAATGTGCTCCTTAAGGGAGGACTGCTGAAGTGATGAGGTCATGAAGGCTTTTGTATCCTCCCTGCGCAGAGCGTACACCCGCTGCAATCCATCGGGGACCACACAGATGCCAGGAAATAGTTTATGCCATTGCACACGCAACCCGGGGACCTCGCTCACTGGCCTGCGCGTTTGGATACACGCTGCTCGCTCCTCTCCTGTGGAAAAGAGCAAGGTGCTAACAAGTGGCCAATAGTGATTTCTTTTGGACAAGAGTGTGTTGTTGTTGATTGGCAGAGAGAGAAAGTAGATCAGTTAGAGGTCTCTGCTGTTCAGTTACTTCTCCTCCATCACGTTTGCCATGGAGGTGAAGCTCTTGGTCCCCACAGAATCAGCTGCAGGGTCATCCTCCGGTACAGACCTGGCGGAGGGCAGTGGGCTCACTCTTCTTCAAAGGAGGCTTTACACAAAGCAGCTGAAGTTTCAGTTATGAAGCTCCCTTCAGAGAAGACTGAAAAGAGAGGAGAAAGGCAGGAAAAGAGAAAGAAAACAGGCACAATAATTTCTACATCCTTTATGTCACCACGTTTCACATGTTGAAGGACAGCCTTATATATCTGTACTGTATTTCTACAAAAAAAATCTACAGATGGCATTATTCCTTATGTCATTCAGACATGGGGAATAAGGAGATGCCAATTAAAGCAGTCGCCACGACAGCCATGAGAGCCTGACTGAAATGGTTGGGATGAGAAGCTGAATGCAGAAATGGGATCTTGCCTAGGGATCGTCTGGTGGCAGGTCTTGAGTGCGGCTGCTAAATGGTTCCAACACAGGACAGAGAAAACTGAAAAATAAATCTCTCGTAAGGGAGAAGACAGCATGAATGATATGCTGACCTTCCAGATGGTAACTTGAATATTTGGGAAAAATTAGTAGCTTAAGACAAAGAGAGTTTTAAAATATATGGAAGAAATGGTGAATATAGGGAGAGAATGAAAAGAAAAAAGAAACTAAGGAGAAAAATATTAACCTGGCAGAGAAAGAGGAAAGACTAGAAAATGAAGGAGCAAGACAGTAAGAATAAATAGGATCAGGAGAGACAAAGCTTATGCATGTATTTGATGTTACCGCTTCTCTGTGGCTGTGCTACCCCAGATGGAATAAAAAAAATTAATAAGGTCGGAAGATCAAAAAGAAAAGGAGCAAGGAAAAAGAAAAACCCTTCCTTTTCTGAATAAAATTTGCGACTATAATGAGTTTCTAGCAATAATCAGCTTCATCACCAATTTAACTTGTTCTGAATGAAGTACTGAAATTCCCAGAACTGGTAGCCCATGGAGCAGTTTACATGTTGACATGAAAATTACATCTGAACATTGTGAGTAAATCCATTTCCCCTTCAAAAAATGTGTGTAAATATTATTGAAAAAAATGGTTACAGCAATTTCGTTCAGTCTCAACAAAGAGAGCTGTGCTTGCAGAGCCCAGCATCCCAGCTCCTGTTTCAGCTGTCTGCGTGACTCCTTTGGGATGCCACTGAGCCGCAGCGAGCAGCTGGTCCGTGAACAAAGTCAGGTGTTTCTGTCTGGCCCCGTGTTGTCAGGTAGGTTTCACCTGTGCCTTTATACACAGCGGATTCTGTGGGTGCCTTCAACTCCCCTGGCTGCAGTCTGTCAGGAGCAAAAAGGTTTTGGTTCTCAAAGAAAGCCCAGGTTATCTGCTGTGCGTATCAAGACGCTCAGCACTGCAAGTTAAGGGAATGGGTGAACGTGGCAACTGTCTCAATTTGCGAGGTTTGAGTCAGAGTCTGTTCAGCTGTTTATGACAGCTAAACTGGTAATTTGCCAGCTATTTCTATTGGACAAAATAATAGCTTTTATAGAGTTACTTCCACCAAAGATGCTACCTGGCAGTCACTGGGCTGAGGGAACTGGCTGAAGCCAGCTTTTGTTCCCTTTCTGCCACAGACAGAGATGTAACATAACCATCCACCCTAGTGAAGACAGGTTTGTGAGCTGCTGTTTTGGTCTGGTGGTCACGTTTTTCTGTATATGCTGGTTTCCTTTTGAGTGCTGCAAGAATGGTTTGACGTTTTCTGTAGCTGAACAGCGGATCTCTAACTTACTTACCTGCAGACATGCTGGTATTTGCATGACTTTCAAGACTCGTAACTAAAGCACATCATTGCTTGTGATTTGTCAAGCTGCTGAATAATAATGTGATAGAGATATTCAGCAACAATCGTGAGAACCCCATTTTCATCCTGAATAAAAGACAGCATTCAAAATCTCTATCCCATTAATATTACTTGCATACATTCATGCAAAACCCCTGCCAACAGTAGTACTCTGTTAAAGCACAAGAATCAAACAGTCAAGAAATAAAAAGTTAAAGCTGACACACAGAATTAAATGATGATAGCTTAGATTCATCTTCAATTATTTGGCACTGTATTTCTTTAATTATACACAGACTGGATTTATTCAGAGGTTCTGTGTTGTCTTCAACAGTTTTTCTGGGAAAGTTGACCCAACTGGAGGGAAACTACTGCTCCCTCCCTTCTGCCAAGAATCGCCATCCTAACCACGTATGTTCGGGAGGAACATACAGAGGAGCACATGCTAAGCTCATGCTGCAGCTTCCACAGACGGGATTTTAGAGCTGCTTTTAGCCAGCCAAACCCTCAGAAAGCCCTGAGCGGCCTTATGAAGGATACAGCCCTGTTTTGTCAAGACAGAGCAGTTTTTATTACCCTGAGGAAGTATAATCAGTACTTCGCTATGACAACAAAAGGGAGAGTCTGATCCCATGACCAAAAACAGCATTTCTCAAATACGTCATCTCTCATACATGATTAAAAAGCCAGGCTGTCTGAAAGTCTTAACTTACTGGCTGTAAGGTTGTTTTGGAAAGCCCAGTATATAGTATAGTATGTAACAAAAAAGTTAGTTTGGCTTTACTATCTTCTAAATTTAAGTGCTTTTTTTTTTGTCAACCACGGCTGTTGCACCGATAGAAGGGAGGGGATCTGCCTGGAATTTTTGAAGAATTCTCAGCGGACACGACAAACGGCAGGACGTACAGCTTGAGGCTCGCGTTCCCAGCCCAGCAGTCATCCTTGCTTCCTGAATAGCGATGTTTTTTCAAAGCCAGTCTCTCGTCTCCTGGCTGTTTCACCCCTCGGTCTAGCCCGGGCCGGAGCTCAGAGCCTGCAGCCTGGCAGGGAGGAGGCTCGCTCGGCCGCTCCTTCCCTCCGATTCCGCTGCCGCGTGCCAGATAGCCGCTAACACGTGGGTGCGTTTGCGGTCTCCCTGCCAGATTGGTACTGTCTCACCTGTCCGACTTCGGAGCCGGACAAGTTAAGTGCAAGGCCGGAAGCGCTACAGCAGAAGTGAAAGGCCTACAGCTGGTCGCAACCAGCCCGGGGCCGCGGACGCGCCCTCCGGGAGCGCCCCAGCGCGGCGCTGGGAGAGCGGCGCTGCCGGGGCCGGCCGGGC